GGGCCAAAGCGGCTTCGCCGACTCGAGGTCCAGGTTGTTGAGCGCAACCGTGAGGGCTCCTTTTTTCTCCAGTGGTTCGTCCTGACCCTCCTTGTCGTGCCGAGTCCTTATGTAGCGACACTGCAGCACAAATAAGCCCAGCTGCGCGAGGGTCTGCCCGCGAGCCTCCTTCGTCCAGAACTCCAGCGTGGCGGCATAGCCCTGTGCGTTGTGTGCTCGACCCTCGGGCGCGAGCTGACCGATGACGCGCTTGATGATCGCCACGAAGAGTGCGGCCTGTGGGCGGCCACGAGCCTTCCAGTCGATACGCTCTCCTGAGCGCTGTCTCTCCTTGAGGGGCCTGGGGTCGTCGTCGTACTGTTTGTTGGCCTGCACGCAGTCCGCGTCGAGAGGGTCCGCACCCACGTGCACGGAAATGGCGCGATAGACCGCAGGCTCCAGCGTCGAAATCCTCCCCACCTGGTTCGCCATCGAATCTGCTTTCAGCTGCATCGGGCCCATGCGGCCCCTCATCTCCTTCGCCCCCGATCCTGGGACCGCGCTCCGCTTGGCGAGCACCATCATCCAGTAGGGCAACTCCAGGAGGGCGAGTGAACTGGCTGCGGCCGCGGCCATCAGCGCCGCGAAAAGAAGAGTCCTTATCATGAAGTGTCGGTAACGGGACATGGACAGGAAGATGCTCGAGTAGATGCTTGCGGAAGTCGTCGTAGTTCGCACCCTCGAACTCGCACAGTTTACACTTACAGATCGGAGGCTCCAGGAAGGCAGTGATAGACGAGGCCCCTCTCGGATCGCATCGGCCTCGTTGAATCGCACTCTGGAGGTGTCGGTTATCGGTAGTCTGGGTCGCGAATGTCCCCTGGCAAACGATGCACGAGTTAGATGGCGCGAGCACGTGCGCAACGTTTCTGATACGATGACGATGCCGAAGGTGTTCAGTAAGACCCCTCGGGGTTCGGAATAGAGCCCCACAAGTGATCCCATCCTGCATGTGCGTGCAAGTGTACATCTCCTCCTCGTCCCCCGCCTCCACCTCCATGTCCCTGATCACGAACTCCTCCCCCGCCTCCTCCAGGCCCGGTGGAGCCACGCGGAACGTGAAGACAGATGCCCGATACTCCCCGAAGTCTATCTCGAGGAACTCCCTGCGCTTATCCTCAGACGTATACAGGTGCCAGGGGGACTCCGCGAGGTCCAGTAGTGGTCCGAGTGATCCAAGCAGGCGGCGGCGGCAGCGCGGAGGTCAGAACGCATCTGGAGGGCCCACGGGGACGCATGGTTGGAGAGGCCGTACTCAGGCTCGCAGGGGTCGAAATTCTCGGGCTCGAAATCGAGGAAAGAGAAAAGTACCGCCCAAATATGTTTGTTGGTTTCAGGGAATCGGGCCCAAGACTGATACCAAGCGAGCCTCCTAGCCCGAAGTTCCACTTTGCAGGGGGCCACCTTCCAAAACTCCAAGACACGCATGTTGGTCAAACTTTTTTGATGAATGGGTCCCACCCACGACGCACCTCCGCACATCGCAATCCTGCCCAGCTTGGCGAGGTGTGCGTCCATCACGCAGTACTGGTGGTCGCTCAGGCAGAAGCACTCCATGGCGGACAGCAGCGTGTTCTGCACGAGCGAGAGGAACAGGGTACGCTTCCACATTCGTGGGATCTTCAACGACCAGACGCCTCCAAGGCTGTAAAAAGCCGCGTGCGTCGCAGAAAACCTGCGAGCCAGCTCGTGTGAGGTCGTCTGAGTGGGAGAAACCACTGGGCCCAAGTAACGGGCGACGTCTTGTGCTTTGCCTTGAACAGCACCTTTTTTACTCATTCATTGGAGGAGGAGGAAGAGGAGGAGGAGGAGGAGGAGGCGGAGGAGGAGGATGAGGAGGCGGAGGAGGAGGAGGAGGAGGAGGAGGAGGAGGAGGAGGAGGAGGAGGAGGAGGAGGAGTGGAGGGGACGGTAAAGAGGGAGGGCGTGCCGTGGCAGGGTCGGGGCCGCCACACTGCAGGTGCTGCCTGCACGAGGCCCCCTCCCACGGCCAGGAAAGGGGCCCCAGGCAGGCCCCGGGGCGGACCCGGGGTGCCCCCGGGCGGGCCCAGGGGGGCCCCAGGGCGGCATCGCAGAAGCCCAAACCAGCCCCAGGGCGGCGCAAGTAGGCCTAATGAGAGCCCCCTATCAAGGAGCAGAGACGATCAGGCGGGCGGCCAGGGGGGTGGCCCAACACGGGGGGTGAAGACAAGGGCCCTAAAGGAGCCCTTCAGGGCCCCGTTTGGGGCCAGCTGGTGCCCAAAAGGGGCCCCAAAGGTACCCTTTAGGGCCCTTTTCACCCCCCATGTTGGGCCACCCCCCATCACCACCCCCCCCGAGACGAGAGGTGCCTCACTCGCCATCGCTTGGACGGCCATTCCCTGTGTTTTTTCTGTTTCGTGCGTGGTTTTTCTGCCACGTGATCGAGGATGCTCCTCGATGGTCCTCGCCGAAGGACAACATGCACACGTCCGAGCGATGCCAAGCTCATCTTACGGCCTTCTGGGCGGCTCTTGAAGCGTCGCCGCACGGGGGCTACGCTGGCATGGTCGCGCGGAACACGCCGCATGCAGCTGTTGGTGTTGAACAGCACCCACGGGAACGTGATCCCGAGGCCATGATCACGATGTTGCTATATATATACAAGTATGATACAAATGCGTAGGTCTGCGCTCGTGCGGTCACGACTCCTTGCAAACAGCCATGGGCCTGCTGGCGCAGGCCGTGCCTCATAAACCACGCCGCTGACCTGGCAACCCTCTGGGTCTGGGTTCTTGTTTGAAATACTGAGCCAACCAGCGCACCAACCAGCCATACACTTAGCCAGCCAGCCTGTCAACTAGTCAGCCAGCTGGTCAACCAGGCCACCGACCAGCCAACCAGTCACCTGGCCGAGTTGCACACCTGCCAATCAATTAGCTAATCAACAGAGAAACACACCAAACAGCCTACCCATGGACGTAAGCAGTCAAGACGGGAAGGCAGGCGAAACCCTCCACATATTTATATATATATATACACACATACACGCAGTATACATGAATATGCATTGAGGACAGAACGAGAGAGAGAGAGAGAGAAAGAGAAGGATGCATGCAACACCCGCTTGTAGGTGATAGAGAGGGGGAGGGAGCGAGAGAGAGCGAGAGAGAGAGTCAGAGAGAACGAGAACATCTTAGAGTCGTGGGCAATTGAGGGACATACGTGGGTAGGAAGACCAAAGGGAGTGCGACGCGCACGAAGAGCACAGCCGAGAACGCAGCAGGAGCGGCGAGCGCGTCGCCTTGAGAACGCTATCCAGCACGCTCGTGTCGTCACCCCTGATCTCCTGGGCGCAGGCCCACCGTCTCCAACTCTGCACTCGGCCCCCGTGCCACAAGCCCGGCTGCGCCTCCCTCCCACTCGTCTACCCCCTCCCCCGCCACTGGTCCCACCCCTCTCCTCACCCATGGCCAATCTCCCCCTCCGCTCCTCCTTGGCGGCCCTCCCCATTATCCCTCTCTGGCCCCCCCACTCCCCCCGCTTCCCCTGTCATTTTCCCCCATGTCCTGTTCCCCGTCCACTCTGCCACCTCTCGCCCACGCACCCCCGCGCGTCAAACTTTGGCACCACTCCCACAGTCCCCCACGCCCCCCGCACCTTCTTGCCGCCCTCTCGAACGGCCCAGACGGCAATCCTGCAGTCACATTCCGCGCGCTCCCCCTTCCCACCCCCCTGGAGACGCCGCCATCAAATCGGTCGGAACAAACTAAAAACGGAAAAATCAGGACCGATCCGGTCGATTGGGCCATTCGATCGAATCGATCGGAACGGAACCGATCCATTTCTGGATCGATCAGGACCACGCCACTTGACAGAACCAAGCGGATCGAACCAATCGATCGGAACGAACTCATGTCCAATAATTCGGTACTGGATCGGAAAAATTGAAACCTGACCAGTGACACGGTCAAGTGTCTTCTTTGGGCGTATAGTCGGCTCGACCGATGCTGCGCGCAGACATCGGACGGTACGATACGGAGGAGAAGGTTGTTTTCTTCAAGGATGGAAGGGCAAAGTGGAGGATAAAACAGGAACGCTAAATAAGGGCAGATATCAGCATGGAGAAGGAAGGATGTGGGAAAGAAGGCAGCATGAGCGAGAAGAGAGAAAGGAATAATAAGGGATGGTGGAAGAAGGATGAAGACGACGCAGGTGGAATGAACAAGAAGCGGTGAGGCGGCAGGAGGTTTGAGAGAGAAGGACGAGGATGAGAACGATCTGGGCCAGATCGACGGAAGAGTAGTGGAAACGACATTCTGAAACATATGGGCACAATCTGATAGACTCGGCATCCCTGACACCCGTCTCGACTTCTATAGAAATAGTGCCGCATGACTTCTAGCTGCTGTTTGCTCGACTTCAACCTCATTTCCAATTTGGGTATGTAAGCCGTTAATCTGCACTCGAGGTTGCCGCACCTGTGGTTTGGGCATCCTCACGCACTTGTCCTATGCAGCTTGAACTTCAAACGCGTGCTAATTGCCCTCAGCTTGCGACTCGCATGCCGTGATTACCCTGCCCGTGGCCTGCCTCACAGGAAACACTCGACGGGCGGATGACAGAAGGGGACCCGGAAGAGCCATGGAGCGCGTGAGATACGCGATGAGCGCACCACTTTGTAGCATCGAGCAGACAGCGAGAGACGAGCACCACCCGAGGTGGCTCCAGCGCAGGCGGCTCCGCCTGCCGCCGAGACAGGTCCCACGCTCAGGGGGGGAACATCGACCTGCAATCGGCAATACATCGCCGAGAGATCGGCGGTAGGCCCCCGATAGTTAGCGGATCCGCCCGCTCCTGGGCGTGGCCATGTCAACAATCCTTGGGTTTTGCGCTGCAGAACCCAAGGATTCTTGACGCGGCCTCCTTGGGTGCGGCTCTGCCGGATCCAACTGGTTGTGGTTTGGCCTGCTTTCGGCTGAAGGAACAGTCATGTCAAAATCCAATGGGCGACTGGGGTCGATGCAGCCCCCGCTGAGCCTCCATCCCTGACGTTGCCCCAGAGAGGAGCAGCGCTGGAGGCGGTCGTGCCAAGCGCCTCCGCGACCTGGGACTCCCCGATCGGCAGCTCTCGCGTGTGCGGGGCGGCGCCGGAGACGCTGACCGCCCCGTTGGCCCAAGGCTTGGCGGCGCGCCCAAGGGGGAAGCGAGAGGGGGGCAGGCCTTCTCGGGAAGCGGGGCTTCTGAGAAACCCTCGCGCCTTCCGGGGAGGCTGCTGCGCCCTCTCCGAGGCCACGGGCGGCTCTGCAGAGGGCGCTAGGGCCTCTCCGCGAAGCCCCGCCGCCTCCCGAGGAGGCCAGCCTCCTCTGCCTCCCCCCCCGGGGCGCGCCGCCGAAGGCGGCTTGCCAACTACCTGTCGTCCACGAGCCCCTCCAGCTCTTCGGCCCCGCTGTCGGTGGCGCCAGCGGCCGCCGCGCCATACACGTCGGGGCGGGCTTTGGCGCGTTCCTCTGCGTCTGCGCCGCGCTTGCCCCTGCCTCGGACGAGCTTGACCACCGGCACCGCTACCAGCAGCGCTACGGCAGCCAGCAGCGCCAGCGGCAGCAGCTGGCCTCGCGTCCGCAGCGCGGCACCGTCAGCGGCGCCCTGCCCCGGCGAGCCGCGCGAGCCTGCCCTGACCTTCCAGGAGGGCTAAAAAATAGCACCCGACCTAAAAACCTATCCCAGAGCTATTCTACGTCTTGGTTTTAGGCTGGTTCGTTTCGTTCTTTAGGTTTCTAAGTCTCCAGTGCTAAAAAATAGCTCTCTGGAAGGTCAGGGTGGCGCCGCCGCCGAGGCGGACGGCGCCAGGGCGCCAGAGCCGCCCGGTGCGCCTGCGGCCGCCGCTGCGCTGTGCGCGGCGGCCTGCGGCGCTGCCACCGCCTGGGGCCTGGCGCCCGGGGCGTCGGAGGCGTCGGGGGCCTCCGCGGGGGCCCCGGCCGGAGGCGCGTGCGCCGCCTCTGGTCGCTTTCGTCGTCGCTGTCGCCGTGGTCGTCCTTCCTCCTCCTCCCTCGTCGTCGTCGTCCGTCCTCGGCGTCTCGTCGTCGTCCCTCCTGTTTCGTCGCCGTCGTCGTCGTCGTCGCCTCGGGCGCGGGGCCGGAGGCGCCCTGGACGTCGGGCGCGCCCGGAGCGGCGGCCGGCTCGGCCGAGGCAGCGCCCGGGAGGCCGGGTGCGCCGGGGGCGGCGGCGGGGGCCAAGGCCTGCGGCGCGGCGCCCGCGGTGGAGGCCGGGCTGAGGGCTGCGGCCTCGCCAGCGGCGGGGGCCGCCACCTCGCTGGCGTCGGGGGGCCGGATGCGGTCTGCGTCCGAGAAGTGATCGGGGCGCTTCACGTACGATGGGCACCTGGCTGGCGCGACGCCGATCCTCTTGTTCGCCAGATCAAAGATGATCTCTTTGTACAGCATCCAGGAGGCACCCAGCGTGGTCGTCGGCCGCATCCCATCGTCCTTGAAAGAGTAGCACCATTTCGACCCCCTCTGGTACATGTATTCTCGAGGCCACCATGCCGTTCTGACGCTGTGGTCGAACGTCACTTCCACTTGTGGGAAGTGGTCAAGGCCACCTCGGACCTCCCAACAATCCCCATGCTGTACTGCACTGCACCGCCCATTGCCGCAATGGTCCTCGATGGCCTTCCGCAGGGCCTGGTAGTGCTTCCGGTTGAGATAAGTATACGTGGTGCCGCTGTCGATGATGGCGTTGTACTTATGCTCGATCGGGATGCTCGCCGTGCCTACAGCCAGACTCGACACCTCAACGCCGTAGCCGCTGCCCAACTGCTTGATGTACTGCAGCGGCCCGGCGTGAACGCTCTCGTTGTGCCCACCGACGGTCAGGGCGCCGCCCTCGACCGCGAGGCAGATAGAGAAGGCGCTGCTGTCCACGTGGCCTTTGTCGGCGAAGAACGTGTGCAGCACCGACTGCTGTCCCTGGATGCCAAATATGCCGTTGGCGGCCTGTGTGTAGAACAGCTTGTTCTCGTTCTGGTGGCACCCCATCTTCGCATAGACGGGCGGGTTCCGCTGGATCGAGTCGCCCATGTGCAGGTAGTCGAGGAACCACCAGCCAGAGATGGACGAACCTTCCAGATAGCCCTGAGAATAGCCGCAGTGGTCGCTGCCCCTGCCGCGGCACTTGGACCTGCGGTCGCCCGTGCACTCCCGAGAGTCGCAGCGCACCCACGTGGCGCTGGTGCTCCTGCCGAAGTCGAAGAGGGGGTCGATGCGAGAAGACGAAAGCAGCGGCACAACACGCAAGCCTTCGGAGCTCCGCGCGGGCTCCTGGGATCCGCGCTGGGCCACCCTCCCTGGCGCGCGGAGCGCGCCCCGGGGGCGGCGCTGGGGGCACCGCCAGGAGGCCCCGGTCCAAGAAGTCCTCGCGGAGCTCGGGCGGTCGGCAACGCATGGGGGAATGAGCGTAAAGCAAGCAGGGGGGCCCTGAGGACCCCCCAGAGGGGGCAGTTCAGGGCCCAACGCGTGCTCCTGTTATGCATGCAGCTATGTATGTACGTATGTATGTTTGTATGTTTGTATGCATGCATGTATGTATGCATGCATGTATGTATGTATGTATGTATGTATGTATGTATGTATGTACGTATATGCACATGTATGCATGCATGCATGAATGCATGTATGGATGGATGGAATGATGGATGGATGGATGGATGGATGTACGTATGTATGTAAGAATATATGTATGTACGAATGAATGTATGTATGCATGTATGTGTATGTGTACGTGTGTATGCATGCATATATGTGTACGTGTGTGTATGTGTGTATGTGTGTATGTGTGAATGTATATATAGACGTTTCGTTCTACCTGTATATGTATATATATGTATATATGTATTCCCGACCGCCCGAGGAGCTCCGAAACTTTATGCTTATGCTGGTGTTTCGCCTTGCAAATGTGCTTGCCGCAGTGCGGGCACCCGGCGCACGGAAACGCCAGCAGGCCGCTGCCCGTGTCCAGGATCACCGACACGCGCTGGGGGGGGCTGCCAACAGTGATGTCCACGAAGTAATAGTTGTAGCCCGCGATGTTTCCGTAGAGCCTCGCAGACTCGAGCTTGTGCACCTGAGGGGGCAGCGTCTGGAAGGGGTAAAACAGAGTTAGGATCGGGATAAATCGCTCCAGAGCGTTCCGGAACGCTCTCAGAGCGTTCCGGAACGCTCTGGAGCGGCCGCGGCGCCCAATACATCCTCCAAACCCACCGATTCTCAGAGATTTCGAGTTATCCCGATCCGATTTTGTCCCGATCTTCGCGTCGTTTTAGGAGGGGGGGGAAACTCAGGGGGAGGTGCACGCCGACCCCCAATCGCCCACTGATCGCCGAGAGGGGCCCGACAGCCCACCCCGCTCGCTACCGGGGGCCTGTGGCCGATCCACGGGCGACGTGTCGACTGTTCCAGGTCGGTGTTGCCCCCCGACCCTCTCCCCCAACTCGGCTGCGCGCAAGAGTGGCCCTGAGTAAGAGTGACCTCTGGTGCGTGGCTGTTTTGGGGGCCGCGGGAGGGACCAAACACGAGCGCGCAAGACGCTACCGCCCCAACGCGCTCGGGGATCGGGGGGCCCCACTTGGCCCGCACCAAAAGGTCTCTCCGGCGACAGGTCACTCTCTGGCCATCGCTCGGGCGTCCATTCCCTGTGTTTTCTTTCGGCTTCGTGCGCGGCTTTTCGCCAAATGATCCAGGATGCTCCTCGATGGTCCTCGCCGAGGGAAGAATGCATACGTCCGAGCGATGCCAAGCTCTTGCGCCCATAGTCGACCCTTGGGCGTGGCTTAGTGGGGGGGTCATAAATGGGGGGGTCAGAAACGGTCCCCTTTCGTGCCCCTTTCGGGCCCCTCTGGAGCCCCAGGGGGCTCGTTTAGGTACCGTTTGGGTACCTTTTCGGACCACCCGCGACCCTTCCCCCATTTATGACCCCTCCCTTACGCAACGCCCAAGACCCACGCTGCCCCCCGGGCACCGGATCGTACATCCCCCCGGTGCGCTCCGTCAGCGAGGCTCGGCCGCTCGCAAGAGCGGACCTGGGCAGGGGCGACCTCCGCGGCGCTGCTCTCCAGGGGGCGGGGCGGGCGGGCCAGGTCCAGGCGCGCAGACCAGTCGGAGGGGGACCCTGGTCAGTCCTCCTCCTCCTCCTCCTCCTCCTCCTCCTCCTCCTCCTCCTCCTCCTCCTGACCTGACCTGACCCTGGGGAACAAAAAGGTATCGATACCGCGACGCCCCAGGCCTCTCCCGGGGCGCGTTCTGACCAGAATCGTGAGGTGAATCCAGCGGCACCAGGCCCTGGGATCCGACGTTCCGAACAAAAAGAATGCAGCATCGTGGAAATCTCGACCAGAGCCTGAGACCTCAGGCCCCATCATTCGGGGTCCTTTTTCGAGCCGGACCGATGCGCAAGGGTCTCGGGGCACGAGACGATACAGACGCCTGTTGTGGGTAAATTGAGTCTGCCGAGTGAGCTTTTTTTGAATCCGCGGCTCCCCGCTTCCCCAGGGGTGGTTTTGCGGCCGGGTCCAATTCTGATGGCCCTGGGACCCGATAGCGGGCCCAAGAGGCCGAAATCGAGGAAAATGCTCGTATCGAAAAACATCACATTGTCGGAGATCAGTCGGGGAGACGTAAGACTCGGGTTCGGGGGACTCGGATTGGCATGACGGGGCCATCATGAAAATGACGAGACCCAGCCTGAAACTTGACGCGAGATCCCGCTGCAAACACCCCACGGAAGATCTGGACCGTTCAAAGTTCCAGGACGCGCTCGTCAAAAAGTGCCTGCAGACCCGAGTTCTGGCCCACTCGCGTCTTACGTCTGGCTGCGAGCGAGGGGGGAAATGAGAAGGAGGCCTTCTCAGAGGGCGGTGGCACTTCTCAGAAGCCCCCGCGCCTTCTGAGAAGCTTTCTGTGTCTTCGGGGGAGGCTTCGAAGACTTCTCAGAAGGCCGGGGAGCTTCCGAGCCTTCTGAGAAGGCCCGCCCCTTCCCACTCCCCCCCGCGCTCGCCGCCGAGTCTAGCCTGCCTGAATGCAGCTGCCGCTCGCACCGCTGCCACGCGGGAGGATGCTGCGCCACTCGCTGCCGAGCGGAGTGGGGAAGCTGCGGGATCGGGGGGGGGGCGGGAGGGGCGCCGAGGGCCCTTGTGGCTCCAGAGAGGGGGCCGAGAGGATCCAGGAGGAGGGGGCGGGGAGGACGAGGAGGAGGCGCATCGAGGTGGACCGAGGAGCCTCGCTCGGCGCCGAACGTTCCCCCGAAGGGGCGGTCACTCCAGCGAAGGGCCACGCTTACCAGCGGCCGGGAGGCGAGCAGGAGCGCCAGGGCGCCGGCCCGCTCCCGCGCGGCCCGCCCGCGCCGCCCGCGCATGCTGCCCCCGGCGCCCGCGGGCCCGCGGCGCCGCCGGCGCCCGCGGGCTCAGCGGGGGGCCCCGAGCCAGGAGAGGCTCGAGCCAGGAGGCTACGGGCGCCGAGGCTCGCCTGCGCAGGGGTGCTTGCAGCACCCGTCGTTGCTGCACACACACACACACACCGCCCCTGCCAGGCCCAGGGCGAGAGCCGTGGACACGCGGAGCGAGGCAGGCGCAAGTGGCACGGGAACGGTGCATGAGCGGTGGCGCCCGTCGCTCGCCGCCGTGCAGCCCGTCGCCGCCCGTCGCCGTCGCCGCCCGTCGCCGCCATCCCCGCCTGTCGCCGCCCGTCGCCGCCCGTGCCGCCCGTCGCCGCCCGTCGCCGCCCGTCGCCGCCCGTCGCCCCCATCCCCGCCCGTCGCCGCCCGTGCCGCCCGTCGCCGCCCGTCGCAGGCCGCAGCCGCCACCGCATTGCATACATCGCAGTGCATTGATTGCATGACGTAGGTTGCATCGCATACATTCTCCTTTCTTAAAACAGAATAGGATCTACCCCCCCCGGTGTTCGCCGCCCACCCTTCGGCTATGTAAATCAAATATGATTATGACCACATGTCTATCCTAGATATGAGTTTACACTATCCCGGAGGGGCCGGTATCGGTCCCCTTGAGGTTCCCTTGTGAAAAACGGTACGCGGGGACATCTTTTGTTCTAACATAAAACAGTTTCGCGAATCCCTAGCAAAAATACAAAGCGAAGTGCACACGCGCGCGCGTCGTCGCGCGCGCATGCTGGAATCCTTCAAAAACCTTCGGTGCCAGAAGGGGTTTGCAATCGAGCTTCCAGAAAACATACAAAAACACATGGTTTCGCAACACGGATTAGCTAAAAAAGCTTACGCGCGAGCTCTTGCGAAATCTTGAGAAAACCATTGTTTTCAAGATGTTCACCAAATTCTGCCAAACGGGCTTCGCGCGTGCGCATGCCGAAATCAGTCGAACGCCCTTGCGCGTGTGCCGTCGCGAGAATCCCCTGCAAAAAAAGGACGAAGTGCAGACGCGCGCGTCGTCGCGCGCGTATGCCGAAATCCTTCAGAACCCGTAGGTTTCGGAAAGATTTCAAAATCGTGTCCAGAAAACCTACAAAAACAAAAGGTTTCGCAACACGGCCTTTCAACAAAAGCGTGCGCGCGCGCTCTTGCGTCGTCGTCGTCGTCGTCGTCGTCACCGTCCTCCCTCCTCCCGCGTCGTCGTCGTCGTCGCCTACGTCGTCCTCTGTCTTTCCTCGTGTTCGTCGTCGTCCTCTTTGGCGTCGTGGTCGTTTCCGTCGTCGTTGTCGCCGTGGTCGTCCTTTCTCCTCCTCCCTCGTCGTCGTCGTCGTCCGTCGTCGGCGTCTCGTCGTCGTCCCTCCTATTTCGTCGCCGTCGTCGTCGTCGTCGTCGTCGTCGTCGTCGTCTTCCCTCCTCCCTCGTCGTTGCCGTCGTCGGCGTCGCCGTCCTTCCTCCTTCTTCGTCGTTCGCGTCGTCGCCGTACTCCATCCTCCCTCGTCGTTGTCGTCGTTGTCGTCGTCGTCGCCGTCGTCGTCCTCCCTCCTCCCTCGTCGTCGTCTTCGTTGGCGACGTCGTCGTCGCCTTCGTCGTCGTCGTCGGCGTCGGCGTCGTCTTCGTCTTCGTCGTCGTGGACGTCGGCGTCGTCGTCGTCGCCGCCGTCGTCGTCGTCGTCGTCGTCGTCGGCGTCGTTGACGTCGTCGTCGTCATTGTCGGTGTCGTCGTTGTCGTCGTCGTCGGCGTCGTCATCGTCGTCGTCGTTGTCATCGTCGTCGTCGTCGTCGGCATCGGCGTCGTCGTCGTCGTCGGTGTCGTCGTCGTCGTCGGTGGGTGTCGTTGTCGGCGTCGAAGTCGTTAGAGACGTCGTCGGTGTCGTCGCCCAGCTGGGATGTGCCCAGCAGTCGGCGCCACCGCGGCCGCGTCGGTCGCGCCAAACTAGCTGGCCGCTGCGCGCGATCTTGGGTTGGCGCGGTCGCAGAGACGGCCAGCAAACTCCAAACACTCGTCGCAATCGTCACCACATGGTTTTGCAAGCCAAGTTGCGGGTGGGTGGGTGGGATGTTTGCAAGA